AGCAAACTTCAAAAGAAGCCCTATGACTCCAAGGGTTACACACACACACACATCTGACTTGAGGATCTCTCTGACTGAGCACGTTGGTAATGCCTCACGACAAAGGTCTCTCTTGGCCACTGGAAACAAGGTTGAGCCATGTTGAGCCCATCTCAGGTTCATGGTATGTGCTGGGACAGTGGACATGTATTCAAGCAAGGCAGGGGAGTCGGGAAAGGATAAGCAATAGCTTTTGCTTCCATCTAATTACCCTTGTATATCAGTAAGCAAATACTATATATTAGTCATGATGGGTCATGATTGAAAGAGGATGAGAATGGAATGGTGATTTGTTCACCACAAGCCTCGTGGTAACTCATCGCAGGTGAGAAAACCACGTTGCTGGCAAACTCTATAGTGAATCGGGGATGGACATAGGGGATCTATGAAGAACTTACAGAATCTTGCTCGTTTTGGGATATTGTGGTTCTTGGCCAGTCTGCCCCTATGTCAGCCTGCGGACTTCACTAAACTTGACTGAACCTCAAGGATTTGTTGAAAAACCCTCCAATTGTGACCTACGACTTCTAGGATTTCACCTTCACACGTCACTCGTGTAGGAGAAAACAAAAGTCGTGGATACCGGATACCACAACAGTTCGATCCTGGGGACGGATTTCAGCTGCGATGTGGTTTCGAACGCCATGATCCAATGTCTGTTAATCAGATTAACATGTATATCATATATCGATATTGGGTCATGGCCATGTTAATCATATCAAATGATCTACATGTAGATCCTGGGTTTAGTTGCAGCCAGCTACTCCATCACGAGGGCAAGTGTGAAGCAGTAAGATGGTCCTTCCTTTCCTTGTGACTGTCCTTCGTATGTTGGAGGAGGAACTCCATTCCTGTTCACTTCCACCTCTGAAGAAGGATCTGATGTGCAGACCGTCCTTCCCGCTTTGAGCACGACTCCGATTCTTCGTCGGTGCGTGGCCTTTGGGATCCGGTCCGGAACCGCTCCACACTCGCGCGCACTTTGCGCTGAGGACATCCAAAAGGGATCCAAAGGGTATGGTCTGAGAACTTCGCGGCCACACCCTGGAGATCCCTGGAGAGCAATTCAGGCTCCTCCTGGTGAAGTCTCACCGTGAAGTCTCACCAGATGCCGTGAAGTCTCAACAAGTGATCACCCAGTCGCACTCCGTGTTGTTTTCTGAACTGACCAATTGCAAACATCCTCTCAACAAATGTGGAATCGTTTTTTTTGCATGAGTGAGTGCATCGTATGGCCCTTTGTACCTAAATCCTCTACCTGTTTTGTGCTTGAAAACCACATGGGTGTGTCTTGACAAACTTTGACCCCCCTCAGAGCTGTGGGAAGAAAGAAAAAATACAGAAACAATTGGGCCAAAGGGTGTCCATACCAAAAATACAAACCAACACCTTAATTGATCACTTCGCTGTCTGCCGGCCTTTAGCCGTGCCCTCTTCATGAATGAGCTTCAAGCGCAGCAATGGATCTTCCTCACCTTCGCAATCACGGACGGTTGGAGTCAATCAGGGCACGGAGTCCAAACTGGAAGAAGACTTTTACGGGTTCAATCCCAAAGTGCCAGGCACTTTGGGCACTCCCCAAATTGTGTGTGGCCAAACACCTGTCCGAACACCGAAGTCGTTCCCGAAATTCGGAGCTTAACAGCCTCATGTTTTTGCTCTCATGCTCTTTCCTGAGACCCCTTATATGCCCTGGACATCCAAAAATCCAAGCTGGTCTGACGATACGTTGAGTATATCCCATTGGGGATATCTCCCATGAGACTTGCACAGAATGGCTTATGGCTCATCGAACGTTCATCAACGTGGCTCTTGCTGTGCACCAACCCGTGGTAGAGTTGAGCAAAGCGTCCAGCCTAGTGACTGCACTTGCAAGTTGCAACTAAAGCAAGCAAACATGTAATCCACTTATTTATGCAGTTGAAACGTGTCAACTGCCACTTTGTGATTGCGAGTGATTGGCAATCTGGCCCTCAGATCATTCTGGGACTCCCAACCATTCTCCGCAAGTCCGGTGTCAAAGAAGCCGCACTGGTCGTCTTGGCAGGCAAGCTGCAAAACCTCCGCCGGAGCAGCGTTCGATGATGCCGCCTTGAAGAAAACGACAAGTATAATGTCCCCATGCACGGCAGTTGTTACGCTGCTGGATGTCCAAATCAAACGCAAAACAAACGAGAAAAGCTTCCAAAACCTGTGGTGAATGAGAGTAAGATCTGCAAGATCTCCTGCAGTGACATGAGAGGAATATGATTCGATTTGGAATGAATAACATCGGAGCTCCTCTGAGAGGCCGAGTGTAACATGTTGGACCGAGGATGCGTCGAGACTGTCTCAAGCCAGGTTTTGTCCACCCCCAACGGGCCCCAACGGTCAAGCAATCCATGTGCACCGGTGGATGCCGAAAACATCGCATCAGTAGGCCGCGTCTGACATCCACGATTCCCGGACCCTGGGGCTCCTACAAGGTCCAGACTTGGAACATGAAACGGAGTCGACTACCGAAGGGGCGTTCAGAACTTTGGGGTGTTTCAACCCCATACCCACGCTAGCCTCACTCAGCAAGTGTGGATGCCAACAGCAAACCGCACTTCTTTAGCCAAGAACGCATTAGTCAAAACATTCTTTCAGCTCTAGTGCCTCCAAACAGTTGCAATGGAACTAAGATAGAGCACACTCATGGAGTGTAAAGGAGTACATTCCCCAACACCCGTCTATGTGTATCATTTATCATTTCTCTTGTGATATCTTCAATGTTTGACTTCCATGCCGTGCTTTCCTCACCTTCAAGCTTTGCACCCTGGCGGCTCCCGCTTGCGCCCGCTGGCACCTCAGGTGTGGGAAGCCCACATGGCGGCACCGAAGCAGCGGTGAAGGGGACGCCCGCATTGTTCAGGAAGATCTTCCACGACCTCAGGAGGATCTCCGGTGCAGCCACGTGAGGGTTCTCCCCGGATGCCGGATGTGTGTTTCCCTCCTATTAGGATGGTCCCAAAGGCGCACAAACTCATACACGCGCGTAACCCATCGCCAGGGCTGGGTGATCTGGATGAGTGAGGGATACGACCACATGTTCAGCATGTTTCCGAGTCATACCACTCATTAGAGTGACGAACTCATCGCATGTATGTCTTAGTAACAGACCTAGCTTGAATTCTACAAGAGTTTTGGTTTCTGCTGGCGGAACTGCCTGGAATTCGTCCTTAACTCTCCAATCCCATCCTGTGGTTTGTAACAAGACCTAAATGGTTGGTTGCTGCAGCAAGAAATATCTGAGCTGGGCATGGAGCTCCCCATGGTAGGATGGATATACATCCTTGGTTGCCCAATATATTATGATGGTCATAGGAGGACTTTAGTATGGAACCCCGCTTTGGATGAGGACCAGAGGTTACTGTTGGTGTTCTTCTCCTACAATACCCTGAAAGTTACGCTAAGTACTCAATCGTTCAACATATCTCAGGGAATGGTTGGTGTGAACTTTGGCGAAGGAACGCCCGATCGAACACGCCCGATCCACCGTGGCCTGAAACGACCAAAACCAGAAGACAGTTGACCATTGACTTTGTGGGTGCGGCGCTCTAAATTACAAAAACATGCAGAACATAGCAGAAAGTTTGTCCTCGAAGCGGTCGATTGTGGTATTCAAGGTATTCTTTATTGGATCTCTATTTGGGTGCCTAGCGTGACCCACTTCTACATAGAGAACACCAGTGTCATCATTTCCAGTTGATTCCTCGCTTCCTTGGAAAACACCCGAATCTCCATGGTTTCCCGGCAGCTGTCCGTCCTGCCAAAGCGGAAAAGCAGCATCGAACTGCCAGGGATTCATTGAAGTGAAGACCCGAGCGGCTCTCAAAACCTATGGCATCTGCCGTCGCTCACCTGTTGTTGGTTTCAGGTCGCCAGCCTACTCCCACAAAAAAAACAGAAGCACCGGCTGTCGACGTCGACCGACATCGAACAGTTCAACATCCAAGGATCCGAACAAATAATTGTTTGACTGTTTGACCAAGAATGGCACCAAGCTGGGGTGACGAGTTCAACAACATCAAGTGCAAATTCAAAAAAAAACATCAAAGGAACTTTGTGATGAAAGTCCGAAGCCACATGAGAAGAACAGGGATGTAACTAACTAACCTGCCCTCACAACCTCTTCCATCCCAAACCCTCCGCGGCCAACCTGCGCGACGGCCACACCGGAGCCAGGCGGTCCTTCTTGACCTGTCTCAAGCGCCCTGCGGCCGTGGGGAATCTCTTCAAACAACGTTCCAGCGCTTTGGGCCACTGCTCCACGTCACCCACCTCGGATCTCTGCGGACCAGCCGAAAGCGGAGCAGCCCAGCGGAGCAGAAGGAAGGCATGTTCAGGGAGATTCAATGTGTTGTCTTGTTCAAGTAGGTTTATTGGGTATGGTACTTTGTACATCATTATATACCATGTTCAATGTGTTTTATCAAATAGCAAGAGCGATCCGATCAAACTGTCTGAAAAAGGTTCAAGCCTTTTGAAGAAAAATGAACCGGGTATGTTATGTTATTTGCACCTGGCACAATCAAACAGAACGTCTCTGAAAAATCCAGTGTCCTCTCTAGAATGAGATTTCTAGAGGTTGCCCCCGTACCTTTCGGCAGTCTCGGCTTGGAGCCTCTGAGAAGATGATCATCGTGCATTCTGTTCATTTTGGTCATCAAAGCTCCCATCAAAAATGGATTAGCACTCCTTAGTCCACTTGGACAACCCACGACTGACGAGATCAACGGCACATGCCGCAAGAAGCGCCAAGCCACGTCCTCCAGCAGCAACGCTACGTCCACCGGAGCGCTTTGGACGAAACCCAGGTCGCCGAACCACAGTGGCACTGCCTTGTGGCGCTTGTGTTTTGGTAAGAATGCTCCTAGGAGCCCCTAGTAGCGTCCTTGCTCCTGGTAGTAAGGCCAGGAGCCCATAGTAGCTTCTTCCTTCTTGTGATCCATGGAAACAACATGAAACAACATTTACAGCTACATGCAGTTAGTCACTTTACTCACAATTTTAGAGCTTCATGCGTGTCTTATTGGACTCAACACCATGGATTTGTAAGCGTGTTTTTACAGCAGTTTGCCTTGCCGAAGGATTGACTCAAAGCCTATTGTTGAGATAATGTCAATATTATATAAATGGCTGTGCTCATCCGCTTCAACACGAGGAGCGCTCAGAATTCATTGTTCACAATGAAGCTATACCGTTATTTGCGAACAGTTTCGTCAGAACACTTACTGTATCAACTTGGATTCCTCTTACCGAAAACGTTCGCTTGACGAACTTCCCAGTTGCAGAGTACCGATGTGACCGACACATCGATGAATGACTTGTCGGTGGGTCCCTACCGGGGTGCCGTTCCAACAACACTGTCGCGGCTGCCTCAGCATCGGCCTCCACATCCGCTCGGACCACCACCTTTGAAGCGGTTTTTGGATGAGTTCACATCGATCGTCGATCTCCAGTGTTTGATGAGTTGAGTTCATGTTGGCAAACACGCTGCAGTTTCAGACATCTGGCCACTGAGTTCTTTCAAGGATGAACATCCTCTGATCGCTGTGACCCTTTGGTCCAAGCCATCAGTCTACCGAATGGTCCAAGTCGTTCGATCTCGAGCGCCAAACTGTATTGGAGGGGGCACTAGTCGCCAAAAATATGCTTCTTTTGGGGTTGGTGTCATGCTGTGGTCTGTTTGGAGTCTTCATCAAACAAAGGGCGATGCATCGCTTCGATATGGATAGGCCCGATAGAAATATATGCACGCCAAGGATGATGGCAATGTGTGCTAAGTTCACATAGAACATGTCTGGATGCAGGATGCCTGTGACACCCACGCGCTGTGCGGCACAGGTACAACGAGGATCCCAGATCCCAAACGGAAAACGAGGCGAAAACGTGACCGGCTTTTGATGACTTTTGATGGCCTTTCTTCGTGCAAACACAAATCCGCTCACACAAGACCGCACCCCTCCCGCAACACTGGGCATCCCAAACTCGGCGACCTGCTTTCACCTGCCAGCGTCCGGAGAAATGGATGCAGTTTGAGCTGGATATACAAAGATATCCAGTGGATGGATATACACAGCAGCTCAGGTTCACTGGAGATTCATCGATTTTGTTGGTTGGAGCCTCACCATGCCCCACCTTCTTCCGCAAAAGATCGATCGATCCGTTTGGCCGATTCGCCTGGCCCACCCACTGGGTCATCTTGGGACCAGCGCCCGGCACCCGTGCATAGGCTTCCTGAGTGAAAGGAGTGGCCAGGCTTTGGAAAGGGGAGTAGCGAATACAAAGTTTCGCCTCGGATTATCCACAAAGACTTCTTTGTCATTTCTGAAGAGTCTATTTGAGGTATGGGCCTTGAACCACAAGCACACAACCCGCTTCACACCGCTCAGGGGGTTGCACTTGACACAAGGTTGAAGGAGTTACTCAAAACACCCCACATACAGCATAGAGCCGAAGGTGAAACTGTTTTTTCTGACAGATTTGAGGGGAGTTGTCCTGCAATCTTTCCCTGCTGCCAACTTGCACTACTGCAGCGGAATGTAACGTATTTTGAGCAAAATGCAACATCAACAAAATCAACAAGGACAAGGGCTGAGGGCGGGTTATATATATAATGTTATTTTTGCAAACAGAATGACCGAGTGCGTATTTAACAAACCAGAGACACACGTGTCAAATTTGGCCCTTTCCAACATCTCCATGGAAATACTACAAACAGCACACGCATCATGAACAAATAAATGGCTTGCCTAAAGACACCCCAAACACACGTTTGAACATAAGTATCATAAGACCAACAATCAAAGTTAGGACTCTCAAGGTAGTTTCTGACGAAGCCCTTGACTGAGGTGCGACAAACCTGGATGCCTGCAACTACGTCTTTGATCCAAAAAACAAAATGTAGATCTACCACCCAAAGAACTGACAGTATCAGTGCGGTACTATTGACAACATCATGACCTGATCATTGAACCCAGACTGGATTTGCACAAATTGACAAAGCCTTTCAGCTGAAATTGTGGACCGGATTATTGCAGAGTCATCACGGGTCTTCGAACCATTGACTGATCGCACTGGAAAACACAAACAACATGTTAACAAAATGGACCCCTAAAGGTTCAATCACCCGAAGATCTTCCAGATATGTGATCGAACAGTGTGTGCGCGTGAACAACTTGAATCATTGCGAAGAACCCAATTTGTTGTATATGTTGTGTGCATTTGCTGAAATCCCTTTCTCACCTTTTCTCAACCTTTGTCTTCTCATTGGCCTTCTTTTCAGGAAAAATCACCATGACCCGACGAGATCTAAATCTAATACTGCCGGTAACGGCTTTGGTCCTTCGTCCTTCAGCCAAGCAGCAGGATTGATCATGGAACCTTCCCCTACCTGCAGAGTTGTCGTGGCACGTTGAAAGCTCTGTTGATGGCTGAGCCGCTAGGTCACCAAAACCTACTTCACATTCGGCTGCTCGTGAATGGAAGCTATCTTCGCACATCGCAGTCTTCCCCCGCCACGATCTCTGTTGGTCAGCTGCAGGTTAGTGCAGGTGCTGGGTGTTATATACAGTGATTTACAGCGACCCGCAACGCACAGCGTTGGAACCATCGGACCAATCCCGCTACAAGGCAGCCACGCTGTGTGTGTGCCATGTCATCCTTGGTTCGGTTTTCACATCAAACAATGGATGTTCCATGTTTGGGTTCAAGCTGGCCTTGGCGTGCAGCTGAACAGTGCCCACCTTCTCATCGACTCAAATCACATTCTCTGGTGTTCCTAGATGGTGAGACACCTTTGTCATATCACCCTTCATGGCACTCGACTTATGCGTTGGGAGCACACCAGTCCAAGAAGAAAAACATCAACTCACAATTAACACACAAACTCTAAACATGGTTGGGGGTTAGGTCGGTGTCTGGCGGTGTGAGCCATGGGATCTGGCGCGCTCATATTTTTTCAAACCGTGATACAATGCGATCCACAGAAAGTGAACCAGCCTACCCGGAAACCATGCAAGGAAACCAAATACATCAATGGGCCAAAGAAACTTGGAAATTGAGCACCACCAAGCCCGAGGATTGAGATGGCATGAGAAGGCCATAGCATGGAGGAAAGCAAGGAAACTCAAGCAAACTGAAGAAACCAAACAGCCTGAGTACAGCAGGCCGGCCCGAGAAACCAAGGAAATCAGGAAGCGAGCAAGGAACCTCAAAAGCAAATCAGCAACGCCCATTTCGCAAGATCAATATTTTTTGTTCAGGTATTTTTCATGCATGTTGAGATCCTAAAGGTCACGCATGGTCGCGCCACCACGCCTTATGGCTCAGTTTCTTCGCAAGCTGCTGGGCCACTGCTGCACCGCCCTCGGGGGTCAGGTTCTCCGGCTTGAGACCCAGCTCCTTCGTCGAACGGGAAAGAGCACAGGGGTACAGGGTGAATTCCAGCCCAATGGATTCTGCGGTTCGACATTTTTGTGACCCCAAATACATTAATTATGAAAGAAGTAAGGTCATGGACAAACTGTGTGTGACAGATTCACTAGTAGGGGCCTACACCTTTTTCAAGCTGAAAGATGGCATTCTATATGCCCCACAAGTGGGGAGGACTTGAAACTGAGCCAAAACAGGACAGTGACTTGGTTGCTTCGGACGGGAGGACAGTGGAGCGGACCGACACGCGGAAAGAACCGGCTCAGCCGACTGAGGATGACAGCGATGGCGGTTTTTCATCTGACGGATGAGGGGGGAGCCTATTTTCCTCCCTAGCTTTGCGGCGAAGCACCTGGTGTGAGCACTTTTGTCTGCGATGCAAACAGTATAGAACAAATTGTTCAAATGTACTCGTTCTACTGATACAGCTGAGCCCCCAAAACCTGAAAGTGTGTCTGACCTGAAACTCACATGACGATTGTTTTTGTTCATTTTCTTCACCGCAGAATGCGCTCATCAAGCCGAGCCGTCATCCCCAACCGAGCCTTCCCCGCCACACGCACGGCATAGCGCCCGCAGTCCTGGGCGACATGGACCACTGTATACCCATAGGTTGGAGACGGAAAACACATTCGCAACATCATTGATGCAATTGTCAGTTTCAAGGGCAAACACCGAAACAATTGGAACAATGCAAGTTCGTTAAATGCGCATTTGCGTCATTTGATGTATATAGAAAACTATATGCAACAAAATTGATCGCTTCCCAGAATCAAACATACGGATAGAAACAAATCAATTTCAATCAAATGGGATGGTGCATGCACCCTGTCATCACCATCTTTCAGCACACTGCCCATTTCTTCCGCGATGCCTGTCGCCAACGGACGATGATCCCGCGATGCCCATTGAGTTCACTGGTGGAGAGACCCTGGAGCACCACACGTTGGCCTCGTCAGCAAGTACAGAACTTTCGGTCGGGGGTTGGCGACAAAAGCTAGCATGGCTTGGAAACGGGATGTGGCGAGAGGTATCGGAGAGCGCTGGTCTCTGTGTTTGTGATGGAAGGTATCAGGTTTCCATGCATTGACTTACTCCTGAATCAAATCAGAGGGGGCAATTGAACCCACGGGGGGGGCTACAGTCAAATGGATGGTCCTCTCCAATGCCTTGGTCAAACGTGGGGGAGGGGAGTTAAACTCGGCGGGAGGGGTCTACACATGAATTTTTCACTGGGTAGGTCAATCCATCCCCCTAGCGAATGACTTGCTAAAACGAGAGTAACTCCAGCCAGCTGACATCAGCTGACGATAGCTTTAGTGACTACTAAGAAATGCTTAAATCTGCGGTGCTCGCCTCTGAATCAACTGTCTCGAAATTATTTTGAGTGCATTGTGTAAGATCAACAAACATTGTCAAAACCCAAACTTGGGAAAATGAATCAGAAATGCAAACACAGACCAACTGCCCCCAGCCCAGTTCCAACCTGTGCGCAGCTTCCCTTTCGCCGGCCCATCCAATGTCATGGCGAGACCAAAGGATTCCAACGCCCAAGGGGATGCAAACAGTGTGCGATTCCGTTTGTTTGTTGGTGTGTTGGTCTTGTGAACTTTCTTATGCATTCCGGGTTGGTGGCTGTACCATGCGTTGTGTGCAAATAGCGCCTTGTTCTTGAAAACTGTGTATGTTTCATCGAATTGCTCGCTCAGGATCATTGGTGTCCTTTTGCTTTGCACACAATCAACTGCAAAACCTCCGGGAAAACGCGCCACCTCTCCCGTTGGATTTTGGTTGGTCTTTGCGTTCACCACAAATGACTTCGTTGTGGTTCATGCTGCATGACCTCAAAATGTTTGCTAGGTCTTGCCTTTTTCACAACTACATATATAGCCCTGCCGGGCCGTTTCACCTGTTTATGGGGCGATTGATTCCCTTCCAGGTCAGTTTATAACATCCTTGTGGCACGATTTGCCGCATTAAGACCTGCAGTATACATTACGACAAGTTATAACGAGGTTGAGGTCTCACCGCCTCCATTGTATACATGGGGCAAGAGACCACTTGAGGGGCCACCCATTTGAGCAAGTGGACTGTGCCCCCGCGCGACCCGTCTATAGAAAAGCATAGCGCTGGAATGATTTTGAAATGAGGGGTTTCAAGACTCCTACGCAGGTGTCAGTAAAAATCAAAACTAATGGCACACGTCACCTTGGAATTGAGGAACCCATTCCTCCTGCCTTACAGAGCTGTGATTCAAAGATAAACGTTGTATTACAGCCCCGCAGCCGCGCCAAACAAACTATGTCGTGCCCACGCGGAATAGTGCCAAAGTACTGGGGTGGTCAATCCGAGTTTGATTTGACAGTCTTCCGGGTCTCTTCAAGAAACATTCCCCAATCATGAAACCACAAAAACCTGGCAGCGCAAACTCCTGTGTCTTACTTGTTGGCCGGAAACACCAGGGTCCTTGTTGAAGGGGTATTGTCGCATCTGGGACTATGGGAATTTCCCTAATCCATTAATGCGCGTGGCTCATTGGATGACGAGGCATTTGGCTACCTGAAAAGAGCCAAAATTACTCCCACAGTTGCTGCCCGTGTTTTGAAACTCACTGACTATCACTCTCACTCTCACTCTCCCACTCTCCCACTCTCACTCTCACTCACTCTCCCACTCTCACTCTCACTCTCACTCTCCCACTCTCCCACTCTCCCACTCTCACTCTCACTCACTCTCCCACTCTCACTCTCACTCTCACTCTCCCACTCTCACTCTCACTCACTCTCCCACTCTCCCACTCTCACTCTCACTCACTCTCCCACTCTCACTCTCACTCTCACTCACACTCACTCTGGAAAAAACAAAATAGACCTCACTGGAGCTGCAACTCCTTCCCCGCGAACTTCGGCCAAGCTCTGATGCTCCGCCTGGAGCGTGGTGGGTGATGCCTCTGCCGGCCTCGGCTGCAGACGGCAAAGCCAAAGCTAAGCCGAAGCCGCACGAGCACCCAAGTAAAAGCAAAACCCAAAGCCAAAGCAAAACCCAGAGCCAAAGCCGCACGAGCACCCAAGAAGACTCCCAATAAGAAGGCTGTCCCCAAAGCCAAGGCTAAGGCTAAGGGATGTGCAAAACAACATGCCAAGGCAAAAGCCAAGCCAAAAGGGCAAATCCAGTGCAATCGAGATTGCATGCTGCCCCTTTGATGCATGAAATCAATGATAGAGGTTCAGGCATAAACATCAGGAATCACTTGTTCTATTCTTGCGGCTTGCCCCCACTGAGGCATACTGCAGTGGTTGGTTGGCTGCGAAGAAAGAAGGCAAGAGCAAGGATAAGGCAATGAGCTGTCTGACCAGCGACATCGCCCACATTTCCTCAAACAAGAGCATGGGAGGCTCTGTGGGTGGTTGGCTTGAGTGGGATGCCTGAATCGTCCAGTATCTCCCAAAAAACCACGGTGTGTGCCCAATTGCGACTTTCGCCACTGAGAACTTCTCTTGAAGAAAGTTGGTGATGGGCATGGCGAAAGCAATTGGGGACAGGCCGAACTGGAAAAGTGGTTCAGCCCACCAAGAATATACCGCAGCCCACTAAGGATCGCAGTGGACATCGCTTCTCGTCCTCCATATCGCTCTAGATTCGTGGCTTCTGTACCACTTCTGGACCCAAAATGTATATCTAACTCTATAGTGCCTCGATTCAGCTTCTTCATTGTGCACGTCGATGATGATGCTTCCAATCAAGCCCAGTTTGCTCAAACACTCTTGGATGCATCGATGCCTTCGCCCACGCTGCCCGTGCACCGCGCAGCTTTTTCCCGCTCAGCGCCACTGGACCCCGACTCGCTCATGCTGAGTGTGGACCAATCGACTGCCTAGACACACTGGCTTTACACAGACTGTTGGTGGAGGTAGTGGCGTGGTGGAGGTGATGGTGTGGTGGAGCTGGGGGGTTGCTGATACACGAAACAAGTGTGGATTTAGGGCAGTAGAGGGGAGTGTATCTAAGATTGCCCTCAACCAAAAGGAAGTGCCGCAAGTGCCTCCTATACCATGCAGTGGGCTATATTTATGACAATAAAGACATGAACATTGTAAAACTGTAAATCTGCAAGACAAATTAATTCAAACAACGTTCATTCTCAACAAACTACGTTGATTTCTCAACTCATGAACACTGAACTCACAGAAGCTACAGCACTCCAAGAAGTGGATGAAAATCCGACCCTTGTGACATCAATCTCAAGATCCGGAGGTGTGCGCAGGAAGATCGACTGAAGCTGGCGATCTCAGCGCTTGTTCTGCTCCAGGAAGCTCAAGAGTTGCATCTTCGTATTCTGCGGCCTCAGGAGCCAACGGCAGGCGGCGGCTGACGCTAACGGCCTACGCACAACGTGGATGAAGGAGCAAACGAAGCTCGGTTCTGGATGCAAAGAGCCACAACTCTGTAGGAATCCTTCAGATGAGACTCCAGGGACACTAAGTCCAGTGTCACATGAGAGCGGCAAAAAAGGATTCGGGCGCAGGATTCTGCTATCTGTAGTATCTCCAGCACAGTTTGGACGAGAAAAGTAATTCCAAATTCAACAATCCCTTGCAACACTTGTAGCAGGATATAAGTTAACCCTTCACACGTATAGACAAGCCCTACGGCTTCTACAGAGAAGCCTCGCCATCGCGTTGCCCATTCAGGGCGACCAGTAAATACCAGGGGTCCTACAAGTATTTAGTGGTGCACGGCCACCCTGGGGTGCAACGCAAATCCGTTGTCTGAGGACAGTGTTCGCATCTCTTATCATAGATTGCTCAGGTCTAACTACGTGACACCTGGGACAAAGGATAATAAAGCATCATGTGCATTAGCCCGGAGCTACTCATCACCTGATGGTTGGGATTTCTATCCAGTAAAATCGACACTCGAAAGTCCTTCCTCTATCTGTCTATCCGCTGAATTTCCATGTCCACATCCCCAGTCGACACCCGAATCCTTGTATCTCCAAAGATTTCAATGCTAGACCCAGTGTCCGTGTGTCTGGGCGCTTAAAGTTGCAATCACGTGCT